TTGGAGAACGGCGGGGCCTGGCCAGAGACCCCGTGTCTGCGTCTGCATCGACAGCCCTTCCCAGCGCCCAGCGGGCAGGCAGCTGCAGCAGCCGGTGGTGCGAGTGCCAAGTCACGGGGGTAGTTGTGGCTGTCTGGGCCTGGCACATGCCGCGGCACAACCCTCCCCGGGTCTGTGGGTGCCATGCCACAGGGACAAACGGCTTTCCAATGCTGTGGTGGAAAGCGGGTCTTGGGGCTGTGGCCACAGACATGGCACCGTGATGGCGAGTGGCTCCTGGGGCTGGGGACACCACGCTGTGATGGCAAGTGGCTCCTGGGGCCATATGTGATGAGGCAGCAGTGGCCCTTGCTCTAACGGTGTGGGCTGAGCTGGGCTCGTCCCGGGGCAGGCAGGCAGTGCTGAGCAGCTTGAGCACACCCTGTGCTGGCTACTGAGTCACCACCCTTAAAAAATGCTGACGCTATCGCACCAAACCCACTTACTCACTTCCAGCTTGACAGGTCCAGAGTCTGACAGTACTCCTGCACAGATACGCTTTAATGGGCCGGGTCAGTCTGGGGAGCCAGAGCCTTCAGGTTCTTCTGCCCAGCCCAGCACTCGGTGCCATGGTGGTTTCCCTGTGCCCATCCTGCCGGCAGGCACAGCGTGCTGCAGGGCTGCCTGGCCTGGGGGGACGCGGGTGGCCTCGTTGATGGGGGTGTTGGCCAGCTGCTCTCCGCCAGGTAAGCCAGACACAGGGCTGGTGCTGGCTCGGTACCTGGCAGCTCGCGGCTCCGGCCTCGCTGCCCTTGGGCAGTGCGAAGGGGGCTGCAGGTTCTCTCCAGACAGAGATCTCCACTGCCCCCAAATGCTTCTAAACAGCCCAACGCTGTTCTCCGGGCAGGCTGGGGTGGTGACAGGAGGGAGAGTTGTTCTCTGCTAACAGTACGCACCCACAGAGAAGGGCTCTGCTGGTGAGCCAGCCCTGCGTCATGCTGTGCCCTGGGACACGATGGCAGTCCTGGTCCTGCTGCGCCTGCCGTGTCCCCAGCAGCTCCGGGCAGTGGGAGCACCCGTGTCCCTGTGCCGCAGCATCGCCGTGGAGCTGCCAGATGATGTGCCTCAATGGGTCCTTGGCTGCTGCAACCCAGAGGAGGAACTTCCCCAGCACTCCACGGCCCCACTGCTCCCAGCGCCACGCCGCCATCTCTTAGAAAGGAGGACGATCCAGTCCCTGGCTGTGAGCAGTCTCCTGTCCTGTCCTGCTGCTTCCTGGGGACTGTGACACCAAGAGGAGAGAGAGAGGCCCTGAGACCCCAAGGGTCTGCTGCTGGGGACAGACAGCACTGCCCCACGCCCAAAGCAGAGATGAGGCCCTAAATGTGCCCATCCCCATCCTGTTCCCTGTCCCTGTGCTGGCAGACCCTGCCATCCCTGAGCCGCAGCAGCAGCAGGGATGCAGCATCTCCCAGTACAGGCTGGGTACCGGGGCAGCCTGTGCATCTCCCTAGCATGGTCAGCCCTGCATCCCTGGCCGCCGGCTGAGCCGGCCACACTGCCGCCAGTGCCAGCAGAGCAAGGGGAAGCACCTCTGGGAAAGACTGGCTCACCCCATCGTCTCCTGCCCCTTCCCGCTCCCCGGCCAGCCGCACTCTGGCCCTGGCCGCGCCAGGGTCCCGTGCTCCTGCTGGCACAGAGCAGAGGAATGTCCCCGTGCCCGGCCAAGCTCCAAGCACCCTGGCAGCCCCCTCTCCCCGTCGTGCCGGCCTCACCTGGGACTCAGGCACGTCTCTCTCTCTGCTCGTAAACGGAGTGAAGCTTCTGAATGAGAAATATTTTATCTTCCCCTTCCTGCAATAGAAGAGACAATGCAGTGAGCAGCCGCACGATGGGCTCTCGCACGTCCGAGGTGGCAGCGCTGTCAGGACTAGAGCCCAAGTCTGGCATTCCGGGGGCTGCACCAGGACATGGAGCAGAGGGAACGGCCAGGGGCAGCACGTGGAGCTCACGCACGTTGGCGATCTGCTCCTTCAGCAGGCGGATGATCCTCCGCTGTCCTCTCACCACCTGGATGTTGAAGTAGACCACGGCTCTGCAATGACAGGCAGGATGGGATGGTGGCAGCTGGGGTGGGAAACTGGGGGACGCTGTGCTCCTGGCCCTGGGCCGGGGCACAGGGCTCTGGAGTGACACCCCAGCTCCTAGCCCTCCGCTCAGGGCCGTGACAGCGGCACCCTCAAAGCGTGGGCCCAGGGTTCAGCCTTGGGTCCCTACTCACAGCAGGACCCCAGACATGAAGAACAGGAGGGAGGTGTTCTCCACCAGGTGCTGGTGGACCCAGGCAAACCAGGTGATGTTCGGGTTGGACTTCTCCAGCACTTGCACCCAGGTCTTCCCTGAATTGTAGATGGTTTCCAGCCCCTGGAAGGGACCACAGGTTTCTGACGGCCGCACCCTGAGCAGACAGATTAATCGGGTTGGTCAGAGTGATGGAGAGCCGAGACGGCTGCTGCCCACAGCCCAGGACACTGCCCGGCCTCAGATGTCCAACCCTCTCCCGCCCCAGCCATCCCCAGTGGCTGAACGAGGGGGTCCTCATCCCCTTGTCCCGCATCAGGAACAGCTGGGAACAGCTGGAAAAAGTGTGCACAGGCTGATCGCTGTTACTCTGTGCAGTGACCAGCGGCTGGGCAGCATCTCCCTGTCTGGGGCAGCACTGCGCAGCCCTGTGCTGGGCACGATGCGCTCTGTGTGCCATCAGGGCGCGGGAGGCACCGATTCCCCGAGTCCCTCTCCTTCGCCAGGCAGCCCCAAGCTGCGGTCCAGTGGGTACTCACGACCAGATGGTGTAGGAGAGGAAGATGGCTGCACCCAGGAAGGACGGGAAGCACAGCAGGGTGATGAAGATGGTGCTCATGCGTGATGCTTGCCAGGGCTTGCTGGGGGACTGGCAGTTCTGCATCAGGCTGGTCTGCAGACAGGGAGCAGAGTCCCGTGTGCTGGCGCCTCCTGGGAAGCGGCCCCACGCCACAGCCCGGCCCTCCCATCCTCCGGGAGCTGAGCGAGTTGGGGGACACCCTGTCCCCAGCAACATCCCTCCTTCCCACGAGGACGGCGCTGCTCACTGCGCGGTGCAGCACCCCTGCTGTGGCAGGGCGCAGCATTGCCGCAGGGCTGCCCGGCATGGGGACGCATGGGGAGCTGCGGGGTGGGGGACAGCTCACACCTTTTTGATGTAGAACAGCAGCACCAGCTTCAGCGTCTGCACCGCCGGCAGGAGTGGTGCGAAGAGAACACCCAGCCTGGGGGAGGGAGGGGAAGACGAGCTCGTCCCATGTCTGGGCGCCGCAGGAGGCAGCGGTAGACAGAGCCAGGGGCAGCGGCGGGGCACCAGCCCTGGCTGCGGTCAGGCTTACGTAAAGCAAAGAGCACACACACAACGCACTGAGACAGATTTGCTGCGCAGCCTGTGCTGGGGCTGGGATCTCACCGACCCCCGGGGCTGTTGTGGCCTTTGTGGCTCCCGGGAGTGCTGCGAGTGGGAATGCAGCAGCACACGCGTGGATCCCCTCCCCGGGCAGGGGGGTGCGAGGCCGGGGGCTGCAGAAAGGCAGTGCGGGGGGGCACAGCAGGACCCCGTGCAGCCGAGCGGACAGGCTGGAGCGGAGCAGGTCCCCTCAGAGCAGCGAGTGCCGTTATGGTATGGACTAACGAGCAGGGCTGCACATGCACCGGAGCCTGCTCCTTCCCCCGAGCTCTGGAGGGGACCAGCTGGGCAGGGGATGCTGGACTGGTGTCGGGACACTCTGCTGCTGATCCCCCCGTGGCTCTCACCTCATCGCCAATGCCAAATCTCCCGGTGAGTGTGTGGTTTGTGGCTGTATGGTGCCAGCACCGGGCGCTGTGACAGCCAGGCTGCCTGTCTCCCTCGTCCCACCCATGCGGGGCTGGGGAGGGTCTCCCACGGCCCCGCTCAGTGAAACACGTGCAGTCCCTGTGCCTGGTCCCAGCTGCAGGGCTCACAGGGGACCACGAGGCGTTCGCCAGCAGAACCGCCCCAGGCAAGATGGCATCTCACCAGGTCAGGGTCTGCCCGTAGATCAGCTCCAGCACGTTCCGGGCGATGTCAAACTCTGGCCTCTGCTTCCTCTTCAGCCTCTTCTCTGAGATCAGCCTGGGAAGGAGTGGAGCTCTGCTCCCACACTGCTGCGGGGGGGACGCTCAGCACCCCGTCCCCCCCCCGCCGACAGTGGCAGAGCCTGGGTGTACCAGGGCAGCACTGCCCGGGCAGTGGGAGCCGGGGCCATGCCGGGGATGCCACACCAGCGGGGGGACCCTCACGGGGCACATTACCTCCAGACCAGTTCCCCAAAGAGTGTGTCCAGCAGTGAGAATATGAAGTCCATCACCACGAAGCGATACAGGTCCTGCCCCACACATGTCTCCCAGCACTGGCGAGACAAGCAAAGCTGCCATCAAGCGTGCAACGAGGTTTCTCCTCCCCCACGGCTTTTCTGTGGCCCCCATGGAGTGTGCAGGGCTGTAGGACCTTTTCCTCCCCCGCGCCCCTTTCCCCAGCCACCCCGTGTTTGGGGTGCCCCTGTCTGGCTGTCACCCCTTCTCCCCAGCAAGCAGCAGATGGTGCCTGTGGTGCTGTCTGGCAGACCCCCTGCTGCCAGACCCCTGACCCTGCTGGTGCTGGGACTGCAGCCTTGGCTTTGCCCCACACTCCCTGGGCAAGAGATGGTCCGGATGGCACAGCCCAGGTGGCTCATGTGGATGCCACGTGCTCCTCGCATGGACCTGCACAGAGCCCGGCCCCGCATGGCAGCACTGACCTCTGTCGAGCAGACAACTCTTTGGCTGAGCCACTGGTAGCAGAGCAGGCCGAGGACCACCATCTTCAGAATGAGGTTCCTGCAGAGCAGGAGCAGGGCCGGGAGCCCCTGAGCCCTGGGGACAGAGGGGCCGAGCCCCACGGACGGGGTGCCCGGCCCCAAAGCCTCCCCCACACCGTGGGACTCTCCCCCCAGCCAGCCTACCGGCAGATCGCCACATTGACCACTGCCACGGGGGAGTCCTGCTTCTCCCACATCGCCAGCACATTGTACAGGTGGGGCATCAGCGCGTTGAGGAGGGACACCACCAGGGGCAGGACCAGCAGGATGGCTTCCTGCTGCCGCTCGCCACTGCCCCGCGCTTGGTGGTCCCGCTGGACCTGGTGAGCGGGTACCAGGGTGAGCGTGCAGCCACCAGCAGCCCGGTGATGCTGGGATGGGAGCTGGAACAGGGCTGCTCCTGCCTCCCGGGGCTGCTCTGTCCTCCTTCCCCAGTCGCCCAGCCCTGGCCCACGACACCAGCCAGGAGAGCCTGCGGCAAGGGGCCCCACTCACCGCATGCATGTGCTCTGAGAAGTAGTGCACGGCCAGCACGCAGCCCAGCACCGTGCTCAGCGAGACGGCCCAGGCCAGGAGCAGCACAGCGGTGTGCCCCAGGCGCTGGCAGAGGCTCCCGGAGCGGGAGCGGGGGC